TATTGTGCGATGTTCGAATTGACCTATCAAAACAAGTACCTTTTGCCCAACTTTCTAATTTCCATGTGCCTGCACAGCCCGCACAATACAGCATGTAAACAATGACTTGGATCAGCCGCAGTTGAAGCACATACCTGCTGACCTCGATAGAGAGTGATTGATTGCACAAAGGTTTCCATGCTGGTGCATCTGCGCTCAAACTGTCTTTTGTAGCTATGCATTGCGCTATATGACATAGAATCAACCTTTCTATGGAATTGTGTATCCATTAAATTATCTCCCTGTCCATTAATTATCTCCCTGTGATCAGCGATGTTACTGGCTATATACTAGCCTAGGCGGAGAAAAATAAATCTACTGTGGTAGCAAATCAAATTAAGTAGCAAATTTGACAATGACTATCACGCATAATTATTAAATAGTACGTAATATTACTTTTACATTGGATTTTCGTTGTTCTCTGCACATATTTCGATGTAAAACGATGTCTCGCATGAATCGTTGTTATGCCTCGCACTTTTGGGAATGGTAAAACGATGCCTCGCATGAATCGTCGTTTTGCCTCGCTGCCTCGCATGCCTCGCTGCCTCGCACTTTAGTAATGGACCTTTCCGCTAAGCCCCGCCCCTTGGATATTGTTGCTAAGGCCCCACAAGACGACAGTGGTTATGTTCTCACACGGCAGCTAACGGTTAGCAGGATCAGGATCCTGCTAACCGTTAGCTGCCGTGCGTCCATGCGAGAAAATCCCAATCCGGATACCAACAATATGATGATCGAATCACTGGCCAATAAGAAACTGGAAATTGCAAACGCGTACTTGTGATTGGTTGATGATAGAAACGCCCTCAACTTGCTAACCGATAGCGCTTGCTAACCGTTAGCGTTTCCGGATACCGCTAACGGTTAGCGCTAACCGATCGGGCGTTCTCACGCAGGTGCTAACGGTTAGCGCTAACGGTTAGCTCCCGATCCGGATACTAGGGCTCTCGTGAGAACCAGGCTAGTGTTAAAACATACGCGAACACGTGCGTTTTTGGGAAAACACGTGTGTTTGTGAGACGCGCGCGTATCCCTAGCGCTGTTCTGATTAGTCAGTTGAAGTTTGATTGACACTCCGGAAAGGTCTATACCCATTCGGAGTCCAACTGAGCTAGGCTAGGCCCAGACACATTATTTGAAATTTTTACGTGTTATTTAGGTCACAGACCTTGGCACTTGATTAAGGCCTGTCTGACGGTGACACTTGTCTAAGAAGGCTGCTGTGAAATGCAAGGCCTGGCTGGTGGAGTCGAGCTGCCTATGTCTTATCTTATGAATGATGTAATTACTATTATTATAGGCATAGTATTAGTTAGTAGTAGCCTCCTATTAAGTCTATAGGCCTAGGCCTAAATGTTTGTTTAGCATTAAAATACAGGAGGTCAACGCTAGCCTATCCTAGGCTAGGCCTACCGTCTACTAGGCCAGGGTATATTAATCCATTTAATTTGCTAATTTTTCTATTTTATGTTGTCTTTTTCGTATTGTTCTCTATGTTGTGTCCATGGAATTAGTGAAGAACAGCATTAATATTTGGTATTTAAATTTTACTGTTCAATTTTTAATTTTTCATGGTTAAAAAATATATATTATTATTTAATATTATTATTATTATTATTATTATTATTATTATTATTATTATTACTGATCCAAACTGAACATTCTAGTGAATGAACATTCGAGTGTTGCAGCATATTATTATTAATTATAAGAACCCCTACTCCTCACTGAGTGGCCCGGCCTGGATATGACTATGAGTAATAAATTTAATTACTTGCCCATCCAAACTTTTTTTCTACACACCCTACCCCACCCTGGCACTGCCACTGCTCTCTGATGATTTCTGCTAGATTCAATTTAATTCAAATTACATTTGTTTGTATTCCTACCCACTCATTCTGCAGTTTAATTTTATTATTATTTTATATTATTAATGTAATTACTGAATAAAAGAATAATAAATACTTCTCCCGAGGTTACATCCTTAAAAGTGATGAACCGGGCGAGAGAGAATCAAGCAGAAAAAAATTTCTTTTGTTTGTATTCCTACCAACTCATTCAGTTTAATTGTATTATTGTGCACTAGTATTTTATATTATTAATGTTTAAAATTTAAGAATAAGAGTGGATTTCCTTTGAATGTTGATTAATATGATCATATGAGCTGTCATTTATTGATTCACTCTCTTTGTTTCCAATGTGTTACAGTATAAAGAGACTCCACTTCACAACCTGTTAGAAGCCAAACATAAATTCAGAGATCACCTTAATATTGCAAGACTTCTTTTGGATGCCGGGGCTGATGTAAATATAAAGAATGAGGTAAAATACTGTATACAAGATATATAGGGGAGTAAATAATGTCATTCAAATTTGTATGAATATGTATGGTCACATAATTGCTGCTATTAAAGAAGAAATACAATATGTTTGTGTAAATTGTATTTTGGAGATATCCCTACAGTATAAACATAGTAATATTAATAAAATACTAATAATTTATATTAATACATAAATTTTGAGTGTTTTATAATATTTCTTTTATGATACTACTTGTGATTAATTTTGTGTGATACTTTCTATGAAGTATTTTTTAAAGTAGAATGATCGATATTGATTTGTTTTAAGTTTTATGTGTTATTATTTTTAAAGGACAATGAGACGCCACATGACCTCTATATACAGAATGAATGTGAGGAGTATGATTCTACAAATAGAGAAAAACACAAGGAAGAAGTCTTGCAACTTCTGCAAAGTGAGCAGTTAATACAATTTAATTATTCATGTTATTGTTTATTACCTGTAGGTCAATGTTATTTTATTTCCTGATTATATTAATTGGATAATAATTTATTATTATCTGCTGTAAATAATGTCTTGCAGTCAAGCTCATTGTACATCACTGATGTTTACTCCTTGTGGGTCATTTAATTTATTTGTCACAAAAAAGAAACAGCAAGGAACAGCACAAACAAAGATGAGACGGGACACACCAAAAGTGAACTTTTAAAGTTGGGTACCTTCACAGAAAACAAATACTTACAATAAATTAAATATTTAACATTCAAAGTTAAAATATTCATCAAGCCCATGTACCTACTTCGGTATTTCATATCACCCAAATAATTTTGATCTAGAATATCAAGATTCAACTTCTAAATGTTATTATTATTATTTGTTTAATTATTTGTTTAATACAATATTGTTGATGATGATTATGACAATAACGGTGAAATGATAATATTTTTAAGACAATAAGCAAACCATCTTATTTTTTATAAATGATTATTTCCCTATATCCATTTCCATTATAATAATATTTGAAATTTTATAATAATTAGTCATTTACCATAGGACCGTGTTTTCTTAATTATTTTAACTTCTTAAAAGATTTTTGTTCAGACATCATCTTTTTATTTTTATTTCTCTATGCTTTTATGAATAAACAATAATATATGGCTTTTGTACATTAGGCTTTGAAGTTCCAGAGGCAATATTAGCCAGAGGCAGTGAGGCTCTGAAGGTTTTTAATGAGGAGTTACAAGAAGGAAGGATCACAGTCAACCATGCACGATTAATGGTGACAGGCAAAGAGGGGGTTGGCAAGACTTGTTTGGTAAACACTCTGCTTGAAAGAACGTAAGTTTCCAAAGTGCTGTATCTGTCAATGGATTTCCAATATAAATGTTGCTGTATTGCTGTACTTTTTTATACAAGTATTGTATTTTATTTGCTTTCTATATATTAAAAAAAAAATACAGTATGATGCCATGTAAATATTATTGTTTCAAACATGCATGTACTTAATTGTCATTACCCATACATCCAACAGCATGTTTTGTTGTATACTGTACTATAGACTGTATGTCGTAATTTATATATCGAACACCTCCTTTATATTTATATGTTTGACTTCTTAAAATTGGTCATGCGAAGTAATATTCAAATGTAGTTTCCTTTCTGACAATAAAGTTATCTTGTATCTACTCCTCCATGTAACCACAACTCAATCATGGCACTTAAATACTGTAATATGTACATATACAATTCAACAATTCAAGCAGTAATTAGGTTGTTCTTTTCACAGATTTAATGAAGAAGAACCATCGACTGATGGAATAGTGTTGACGACTGCTTTTCAAACTACTGATATAAGTAGTGTGTGGAAAGAGGCAGAGGACATGGACGGTATGACAAGAAACAATTTAACTTTAAAATCCTATTCTCATTTGTTTTGACTCAAGCTTTGATGAATTTCTTTATCATTCATAGAATGTGAACGGATCAAGGGTATACTTGATAATGCATTAGAAAGTAAAGTGGCCGAGAAATTGAAACAAATGAGAAGCCAAGCAGAGGCAGCTGAACCAGTACAAGCATCAGCAGGAAAGTCAACACCTGTACCTCCACTGGTACACGCCCCTAAAAAGGAAAGTCGCAGCAAACCAGGTACATCCTCTACACCTATATTGCCATCTGTGCCTGTTCCAGTTAAGGTAGGACATGACATAGTAATAGTATGTGTGTTCATAGTGTCTTCAACGGATTATGAGATAAATTATTACAACTGTGGGATTTAATAACACGTTTTTAGTAGATTTGCATTATTTCAGCCTTCATCATTGAGACTCAATGTTTCTCACAGCATGCATTGTTGTTCTTCTGTATATCTGTCTCTTATACACATCTAGATGTGTATAAGAGACAGTTTATCTCCTGCTTATATTAATTGGATAATAATTTATTATTATCCGCTGTAAAC